TGAGCCAGTGGTTACTCTGCTTTGTTCCGTTGCCGTCCCGACCATGCTGGGTGCTCCTGTCCACTGTCCTGTCAGTGTCCCTTTGGGAAGTCCCCAGCACGTGGAGGGCAAGTGCCTGCTTCCTGAGACGGCAGCTGTCCCAGGCTCCTGTGACACTTTCTCAGCGTTTGATCTTGGGGCTGCAGGAATCAGTGATCTCTCGAGCGGGCGCTGGTTCTGTTTGGTGCGGGAAGGTATTTAGTGACCAAGGCGTGAGCAGCAGGTGCGCTCAGTGCTGTTGGGCTATGGCTGCTTTCAGAGGCTCTCAGCAGACAGAGCTAGGAAACTGTGTGTGTGCGTGTATGTGCATGGGGAATATGTGTACATGTACAAGGAACTATGAGCACATACATGGGAAATACATGTTTTCATAGGAACTACATGTGTGTACACATGTATGTGTACACTTGTGTTTACCTGTATATGTACTAAAACCCTGAGTTCTCACCGATGCTTCCCATTCTAGCCCAGCACGACAGAGTTCACCCAGCCTAACTCCTTCTTCCGTGTGTATTTCTTTACGCACTTGTTTCCCAGTGTGCAACCTGTCTCTTCCTGTGCCGCCCCCTGCCCCGACCCCCTGCCCGGCCCACTGTGCAGGCTCTGAGGACCCTGGCCGTTTCCTTATCCTGGCTGCATCCCTCACCCCCTGGCTCTGCATCCTCCTGCATCCTGACCTTTGCTTGGCCCCAGCCCCAGAAGCCTGCTGGCCCTGGGCCCTTCAAAGGGAGGGAGTGGAAGGGCGCCATGAAGATGTTTCGCAGGAAAGAGAAGGGAAGGGAGGGAGAGAGGACTATCTATTTCCAGAACGAGATTGATTTGTTGTTTACGTATTTAAAGAAAGGCAGAATGACAGAGAAAAGGGGTGAAGGGGGGAGCTTCCATCCACTGGTTCACTCCCTCACATGGTGCAACAGCCGGAGCTGGGCCTGGCTGAGGCCTGGAGCCAGGAATCCATGCAGATCTCCCACATGGGTGGCAGGCACCCAGCTGCTGGGGCATCGTCTGCAGGGAGCTGGATCAGGAATGGAGCAGCCAGGCCTCGAACTGGCACTCCAACATGGGACGAGGGAAATCCCAGGCAGTGGCTTAACCCGCAGTGCCACAATGCCGGCCAGCCCCACTGACCGTCTTTTAAGGCTGAAGAGGGATTTCTGGCCCTTAAGTAGGCCTGTGCCAAACCTGACCCCCACATCCCCACCCCATGTGACCTTCCCTTCTCATTAAATGTCAGCGACATCAGTCGGGGTCCTGGGAATCCCCTCCCTGCCCTCTCCTGGATGTGCTAACAAGTGGCCTGGTGGTCCCAGATCCAGCCCATCTGTGCTCCTCTCCCTCGCTGTGTCTCCCTAGCTCAGCACCAGAGTGGAGCTGTTGGAACCCCGCCTCCATGCCTCCCCACGCCAGGAACAAAGCGATATTTTCGAAGTCTCTATCTGAATGTGTCACTCACACACATGCAGGCACGCGTGCACACACACACACACACACACATGCCCAGCTCTGAAAGGCTCCAGATCACTCTAGAATCCTGCCCCTCCTGGGGTGCCCGAGGTCCAGGAGCCCGTCACTGCTCGGCCTGTCCCTGTTCTTGCCCACGCTGGGGTCTGTGAGTCCCAGTGAGAGCTGGGAGGAGAGAACGTGTGAAAGGTTCAGAACCACCAGGACGGAAGGGAAACTAAGACAGTATTCTGGGGGCTGGCAGAGGTGCAGGGGGCTGCAGGGAGGGCCCGGGCTGGGGTGGGCCCACTCACAGTGAGAGTCACAGGACAGGATGGGGCAGGCACGGCGGCAGCAGCCAGCCTGACCCTGTGGCCCAGACCCCCCTGCCATGCAGTTCCCGTCACAGCAGCCGGTGCCGTGGTCACTCCCCTCCTTATGCCCCGTCTAGGGCTTCCCCCGTGACCTTGACACAGCCACTTTGGAGTGGTGGGATAATGAGTGAGGTCTTTGTTTCTTTGTGTTGCTTCCTACATCTCAGATCTTTCCCATCATTTGCAAGACGTCCACAGTGGCCATCTATGCTTTTTTGGCCATTGATGATTTACCCCGCAGGCTGGCACAGCCTCCGGGAGGGGCTTCCGGGCGCCACAAGGCTCCCGCCCGGCTCCGCGTGTGGCCTTCCTCTGTGATGGTCCTGTTTCACTTCCCCATTCAGAGACAGCAGACGATGCTGAAGTTAAAATTACTCACGGGGAAACTTCAGCCTGTGTGGTGCTCTGTGCTCCCTGGCCCGATACCCCGACCCGGGCAGGGCATTGCAACGTCATAGCCAGGACTGCTTCTAGAAGCACACCCTGTCTTCATGCACACGGCCCTGGGCCTCCAGCAGCCTGGACACCGCTGTCCCTTGTTTGAGAGACGGCAGTGCCCTCCCTTTGCTGACTGCCGGGGCCACGGGAGGCCCTCGTGCCAGAGCTGGGTGCCTTCCCCGGGGGTCTTGCCCCCTCGGTGAGCTCAGGTGTCCAGCACAAGGACCAAGGGGCCTCTCCCTGCAAGGCCCAGGGTGGCACTCAATGGGCACCTGCTTCTCTTTCTGACCACGAGGTCCACTGAACGCCTCCTTTGCAAGGAGACCTGATCCTTGCGAGACTCCCAAGCGGACACGGGAGCCCAGGCCAAATCAGCCGCTGGCTCGCAGCTCGGCTTCCTGGGCAGCTGTCTGCAGAGGCTTGGCAGACATGATCTTGCTGGAAATCACCCAGAACTTTCCCTAGCGCTGGAGATGTCCGTGGGAGGCAGGAGACGGAATCGGTATTTGTTTCACCTCCTTCGAAACGGCTGCGTTTTCTTCGGCACGGCTTTGGGTTGTGATGCTGAGTTCGTGTCCACTCCGTTGGCCCAGCAAACCCTGATGGGGGCTGTCTGGGCCTGGGTCTTCGTACACGTGACTAGGTTAGGGAAAGCTGTTCTTTGGAAGCAAGCTGTCTCCTGCTCGGGTTGTCCGCTCTAGAGAGGAGGGGTCTGCTGCCGGCCCCGCCCCAGGTCCCACCCTGGCCACAGCCTCAACCCCAGAGGATCACAGCACTGGTTAGCACCAGCCTTAGGGCTTCCGGCTGCTGCTTCAGAACGAGGAACGGGGCCCAGCGCTGGACCGCTGGGAAGCCAGCGCAGCCCCCTCCCTGCTGGGAAGTGTGGCAGGTGCTGCCTTCCGGCCCGAAACCGGACAGTTCATGCCCCACCCCTACCCCGCAGGCCCTGCGACACCGTGTCACCTGCTCCCTAACCGCAGCCGTGTCCCGGCATCCGCCTTGTCAGCAGCCCTCAGCGCCGGCCCCCCGGCTTCTCAAGGAGTCCTTTTAGACGGTCCGAGCCGCTTCTCACCGAGCGCGCCTCGGATTCCCCGGATTCGCGTCTCTGAAACAGAGCATGCGCAGTCAGCGCTGGTGCTTGGACTTTGTAGCGGGCCACAGGGTCACGCTGTCCACGTCAGTGGACCTTAAGGCCCAGAGCTCACGTGCCATCTCCGGCCCGCACGGCCCACGCACCCTAGGCTGGGAGCCCTTTTCAGATCCACGCACAAATCCTTCCACTTCGATTCTCGCTGGTGTCTTTATTTCCCTTTTCCAAGCACTTAGGCGCCATCCAGTAGCTGAGGGCTCTTTGACAGGTGCCATCCAACGGCTGTCATGGAATCCAGGTCACAGATCTTGCATTATGTCCAATTTTTTTTTGTTATTTTGCTTGCTTTTGGGTTTGAACTTATTTGAGCCACTTTGTAGAAAGCTTTGTTGCTAGTGCTGCTGGTGAGAGATTTCTGGTTAACAGTTGCTTGAAAGAAATTGTTCAACAGGGGGCTTTGTGGAAACAAGGAGATTTTTGAAAAGAATAAACAAAGCCTTTTGTGAAACTCTCTATAAATTTGCTCAATAGCTTGAACCATGCAACACACACCATGGATAGATTGATGCGTGTGTACAGTGCGTAGGCACACACAAAGCACATGGAGCGACAGACAGGAGAGGAGGGGGGGCAGGGAAAGCCCGAGTCACAGGTGACTGATGGAGGTGTGGCAGCATGGCAATCGAATTGTCCTGCTGCAGCTTGGAGTTGCCCTCCCAGGAGCGAGAGGTCAAAGGCCTGTGTGAGTGCCGCCCAGTCTTGTCCCCATGTCTGAGCCTGTCCTGCCCACCTGTAATCCTGAAGACCCTCAGGTGCACAGGGGGTCATTGATTGGATGATGCGATGGAGATGACAAGGGGGCAGGATCACAGACACAGAGTGGGCAGGGCTAGGGGTGTTGAATGTGCACCTCTTTGGTGCCCTTGCCAGCTCCCGGGGGGTGTGGCCTCCATGTGGGTGGGGCCTCAGCTGGGCGGGGCCTCAGCAGCAGTAGGGCTGGCGGCTCATGGAAGACCTTGAATTTCTGGCTGGAGCCATACAGCAAGGGACCCCCGGGGTTCGGGCATCTCAACAGCCCCGGGCAGAATCACCGCCATCTCCACTCCTCCCTCACCGTCGATGGAGATCCAAACAGGCAGATTTTTGCCTAGGTCATTTTCTGAGCTTTGAGAAAACAGAATTACAACAAAAAAATGCAAATGAAGGCAAAGCAACTGCCAGAGTAGATTTTCCCCCTGTGTTTAAAAATAAGTGATCTTTGTGGGGGGAGGGGAAAAACAAAAATAACTCCCCCACCAACACATGCCCAAAATGTCTAGAAGAAGCAGATTCCAATTCCTTGTTTAAAAAAAAAAATCAATACAGAGTTCTGATTTTTTGCCAGAGTACAAATGTATTATTTCTGTAAAGAAATACTTGCAAAATAGTGTGGCTTTTGTTTTTTAGACTGCAAGGGAAAAAAAGACCTTAAAATGATCGCATTTGCGCCTTCTGTGGGAGGGCAGGATGTGAGGGTGTGTGTGCAGGCGCGGGGCCCTCCCTCGGTCTTGCCGGCCCCGCCGCAGGTGGCCTCTGGGGCTGGGCGGCGTCTGCTTGGTGACAGTTTCTTCTGTCCTCAGGCGTCCGAAGGTGTCCCCATGAGGTTCTTCACCAAGCTGGACCAGCTCATCGAGTTCTACAAGAAAGAAAACATGGGGCTGGTGACGCACCTGCAGTACCCCGTGCCCCTGGAGGAAGAGGACGCCGGCGACGAGCCCGAGGAGGACACGGGTAGGAGGGGCCAGGGAGCCTTTGGGATACCCTTCCGCCAAGGCTCATGAGTCCCTGTGGACTAGGCGGGTCCTATCGTCACAGGGAGACAGTGCAATGGGGTGGTTAAGGACAAGCAAGGGCCGCAGGCTCTGGGCTCAGACAGACGTGGGTGAGAATTCCCGCATCACAGCTCATGAGCCATGTGACCTTGGACAAGTTGCTAAGCTTCTCTGAACCACGGGCCTCTCTTGAAAGGGACAGTGAGAATAGCATCTCCCGCTCTGGGTGTCGCGAGGATCAGATGAGCCGGTGACTGGTTGTGGGTCAGCCCTGCGCAGGTGCGGCTGCCCGCGGGGGTCCTCACGTGCACAGCGGGCTGGGCTTCACCAGAGAACCGAGGCTGAGGGCCGAGCCCTGGGCAGGAGGAGGAGACGGGTGCTGCTTTAGATCGTCACCCGCGGGGTGGGAGACTCGGGGCTGCCCTCCGCTGTCTGGGACAAAGACCACAGAGCAAGGGACAGCTACACGAAGTCAAGCAGAGACAGACAGCAAGCTCCTGGGAGCGCTCATAGCCTAAGGGGAAGCCACGAGGTGCCTGCTTGAGCCCCTCAGCCGTTCAGAGCTCCCCCTAAATCACACCCCCTGGAGACCACCAGGTCCCACAGGCTCCCCCCACCTCTGCGAGGGGAGACGAGACCAGAGATGCCGAGGCTGCTGGCCTGGTGCCCACCTGACCCTGCCAGGCACGTGCTGGGTGCCCTTTGAATCCTGCGGGCTTGCCTGTGGGCCACCAGCACCCCCACGTCCACCCTCCCAGAGACCCCCTTTCTGTGGTTACAAGGCTGGGTAGGATGGCAATCTGCCTCCTGAACTCTGGGGGAAGTGTGTTCCCCAAAGGGCGGCAGCCCCATGGAGACGGGGGCAGGGGCAGGGGCCTAGGGATCAGGCCTCCACATGGCCGCCCCCTGCACCGTGCCGCCCCCAGGAGCTGTGGCGCAGCAGTGCCACCTCAGCCCACCCTCTGGGGACGGCCGTCTGGGGAAAGGGCCACGCATGCTTTGTGCAGCGCTAGAAAGGGAACCCTGTCTCGTGACCGCTGGCTTCACTTCCCCCAAACACAGCCACCCAACTGTCAGCCTGAACCGAGCCAAGCGGCATTTGTCTCCCAGGCGTCTAAGTCAGCCCCGTTTGTCTCAAGGTGCTGCCGCCTCTGAGGCTCTAACCCGACCAGCCCCGTATTCAGGACCCAGGCTCGGGGAGGGAGTGGACCTGTAGCCCAAAAGACCCAGGCAGCCCCTCGGGGTGGGAGAGAGGCTTGGGAAGGGAGTCCTGGCCCCCAGGGCCTAAATGGCCTTTACCTGTGCAGGGCCAGCAGGCTGGCAGCTCTTCTAAACCTGATGGGCAGGGTTCCCATCTCTCAGACCAAGTTCAAGTCGCATTTCATCTTTCAGGTTTCTGAGTGTAGGAGCCCCCTGCCCCCATTTTTCTAGAGGAAGAGAGAAGGGAGGGCAGGGGCGGGAGAGGGGGAGCAGAGAGCGGGGACCACCATGGCATGGGTGGGATGGGAGACAGAGGAGCAGCTGGCTGGGCCTGCCTCCTGCCCCTGCTCTGGCCACCTGTGCTCAGGACCTATGGTAGGGGCTGGGTCTCTGCCCAGGCCTGGCTCAGCCTAACCTGAGGCACCTGCTGGCCTGCCTGAAGCTGCAGCTCGGTCTATCCTAGGTCAGCAGCCCTCCAGGCCACCCAGCCTCTGAGCCCAGCGGGACATGTGACTCCAGCAGGTGTCGGCTGAGCGCCACCATGAGTTGGGCACCAGGGACCACAAAGACCCTGCCCCTGCCACTCTTGAGGAAGTAGGAGGGAGAGGAGTGATGGGGGCACCATTAGGAGCCTGGCACATGGGCGCAAGGACCTCACAGGGCTGCGGGGAGCGTGGGGGGCGGAGTCACGCCCTCCTGGAGCCTCATTGCGGGTGTTCCTGCTGTTCTCTCGGGCAGAGAGCGTCGTGTCCCCGCCGGAGCTGCCCCCGAGAAACATCCCTCTGTCTGCCGGGCCCTGTGAGCCCAAGGAGCTTCCTCTTTTGGTGGAGAATTCCCGAGCCCCCGAAGTCAGCCGGCCGAGCCTCTCAGAGATGCTGCTCCAGCGACTGCAGAGTATGGATACCAGCGGGTGAGTCCTTGTCTGGCAGGCCCCCAGGGGGCTGGTGGGTGCCCCACGGAGGCAGGTGCACCCAGGTCCTCCCGGGGGGTCGGTGGGTGCCCCATGGAGTCAGGTGTGCCCAGACCCTCCCAGGAGGCTGGTGGATACCCCATGGAGGCAGGTGTGCCCAGGTCCTCCCGGGGGGTCAGTGGGTACCCCATGGAAGCAGGTGCACCCAGGTCCTCCCAGGGGGCCGGTGGGTGCCCCACGGAGGCAGGTGCGCCCAGGCCCTCCCGGGGGGCTAGTGGGTGCCCCATGGAGGCAGGTGCGCCCAGGTCCTCCCGGGGGGTCGGTGGGTGCCCCATGGAGTCAGGTGTGCCCAGACCCTCCCAGGAGGCTGGTGGATACCCCATGGAGGCAGGTGTGCCCAGGTCCTCCCGGGGGGTCAGTGGGTACCCCATGGAAGCAGGTGCACCCAGGTCCTCCCAGGGGGCCGGTGGGTGCCCCACGGAGGCAGGTGCGCCCAGGCCCTCCCGGGGGGCTAGTGGGTGCCCCATGGAGGCAGGTGCGCCCAGGCCCTCCCGGGGGGCTAGTGGGTGCCCCATGGAGGCAGGTGCGCCCAGGTCCTCCCGGGGGGCCGGTGGGTGCCCCATGGAGGCAGGTGCGCCCAGGCCCTCCCGGGGGGCCGGTGGGTGCCCCATGGAGGCAGGTGCACCCAGGCCCCCCGCTGGCCAGACCTGAGGACTGAGGCCTTCATCCCCACGGGCAGCACCTGTGGTCATTTTCCTCTACTTTCTAGCCAGGGTTCTACTGTTTTGACCAAGGGGATATTGTTTGTGTCCCTTGCCTGTTTTGTTTTTGTAACCAGGTTCTTCACGCTTTTCTTACCAACTTTTTAAAAAAATGATTGATTGATCTGAATGGCAGAGTTATGAGGGAAAGGGTAGATATTGATCTTCCATCGCTGGTTCACTCCCCAAATGGTCACAGTAGCTGGGACTGGACCAGGCCAAAGCCAGGAGCCTGGAGCTCCAACCAGGTCTCCTCTGTGGGTGCAGGGGCCCAAGCACTTGGGCCATCTTCTGCCGCTTTCCCAGGCCACAGCAGAGAGCTGGATCAGAAGAGCAGCTGGGACTCAAATTGGCGCCCATATGGGATGCTGGCACTGCAGGCAGAGGCTTAGCCCACTGCGGCACAGCGCCGGCCCCTACATTTATTGTAAGCCCTTGGTAAGAGTCTCAGTTGTCCCCTTTGTGAATGCACACTTTACACTTGGAAGGTTGCCGTCGTCCTCTGGGGAGCGCTGCCTCAGCACCTGCAGTGGCCAGCGCTCCCAGCGCGTTTCCTAGTGCCAAGCAGGCTGCACCTGCTCGCTCCGTTCCGTTCTCACAGCACGTGAGTGCAGGCTGCTCCCTCCCACAGACCAGACCAGAGCGCCAGGAAGGTGGCTCATGGGCCCAGGAGGGATCTTCTTCCTCCCTAATGATGCCCCCACCTCCCTGTCTGGCCCCAGGAGGGCATCACGAGGTGATTATCCCCTTAGTGGGGAAGCCGGGCTACATGGTGACATTTGTGACAGAGCTGGGATGGTCAGAAAAACTCAGGCTGGCCTAAGGTGTCAGATTGGGCCCAGGGCTGGAAACATGCAGATGCAAATGTGATGCAAATGTAATGCAAATGCCATAGCCCTTGGCCTGTCTGGTCCCAGCTGCTGAGTGGAGAGGTCTGGGCTGTGGCATGGGGTCATGAGCCACCCCCCGGGGCCTGCAGGGAACCCTCATGGCCATGAGTGGGAGAAGCTGGTCACTCCAGGGCTTCCCTTCTTGTGTGGCACTGCTGTGGAAGAGCTGCTCACCCTAAGTCACCCGAGCTGCAGGAGCTATGTCCCCTGCACCAGCCCTGGAATTGGGCCATCCGGGGAGGATTTAACACCGGTCCTGGTGGGCTGTGGGGAAGCCGCGGATGTACCGGGGAAGAACAGAGGACAGCACCCTGGGCTTGGAGCCTCTGGCCTTGCCACCTTCTTCCTTCCCACAAGAGGCCTGGTTGGGTCAGCTCCGAGAGGAGGGCAGGTCCCACTTCCACCCTAGGACAGCTCGTGGTTGAGCCCGTCCACCCCTGCCAGGGCGTCCGAGGGAGCCCAGCTCACATGGCAGCTGTGGCCACGTGGATACTGGTGGCTTCGCTAGGTGCCCATCTTCCCCAGGCCCAGGAGTCCACACTCCTGCCACCAGGAGCTGGCTCTGCAGTGACAGCGTCCTGGGGCCAAGCACACAGCCCCGATGCAGAGATGCCCTGTGGGGCTTGCACATGGCTCCTTTTCCTGCCACCGGTACCTGCACTGCCAGGAGTCCCTGAGTAGCCATGGCCTTCACAGAGGAGCCGCCCACACCCACACCCACCCCAAGCCTGCTGCCCAACTCTCCCCTGCTCTGGGCCCCCACAGAGCTGGCTGCTGGTACCCGAGATGGGTAGAGCATTATTTTTATTTATTTACTTATTTGAGAGGTAGAGTTACAGACAGTGAGAGGGAGAGACAGAGAGAGAGGTCTTCCATCCGCTAGTTCACTCCCCAGATGGCTGCAACAGCTGGAGCTGCTCTAATCTGAAGCCAGGAGCCAGGAGCTTCCTCCAGGTCTCCCACGTGGATGCAGGAGCCCAAGCACTTGGGCCATCTTCTACTGCTTTCCCAGGCCATGGCAAAGAGGTGGATTGGAAGAGGAGTAGCCAGGACTAGAACCGGCACCCATATGGGATGCCAGTGCCGCAGACAGAGGATTAGCCTACTGCACCACAGCACCAGCCCCTGGGTGGAGCATTATTTCTGGGTGTGGCAGTGACCATGGGGGCGGCCTTGGCATGGCGCCCCTCTTTGTAGTGGAGGACAGGAGGTGCCATCATTCTAACGCTTCCACGTTTTCTCCCCTTTGGTTGGGGTTTCCCAGCCTGGTCTCACAGGAGCTCCCCTGGCTCCACAGCGAGCCTGGCACCCCCGTGGCTGGGTGATGCTGGCTTCCACTTTCCTGATGCGCCTGGCGGCCCACAGCAGGGCCTCCAGCCGGGAAGACCAGGTTGAAGTTGCCAGGGCTGCTCTCCAACCAAAATCAACAGCTTTTCATTCCTTCATGGATTGCTTTGAAAAATCTGTGTGGCCTCTAATGCCGTGGATTCTTTGTCAAGGATGGAACAGGGATTTTGAAGGATTTTTTTCCACGAAGGTCGTTAACATCTTGGAGTTTCAGGTTCCTCTCTTCTAAAACAGGGATAATAGTAACAACAACAACAGCTGCCTGTGAGATTGACCTGTGGATATAAAGATAAAGTATTTAGCGTAGGGTCTGGTGTACTATGCTCAGCGATATTTTCCATTATTATGGGAACAGAGATTCAAACGTTGCCCAGACAAAAAGGTGCTGGAGATGGAATGTAGAGGTTGATGCAACTGCAGGGGACAGCCCCCAGGGGACCCGACAGGGCTCTGCTTGTGCCTGGGCCACAGGGGCCATGGGGCAAGGGCAGCAGGTCCTACCTTCCAGCTCCAACCACTTTGGAAACTTAAGGGCTTGGCCCCAGTCAGGCAGGACTTAGTGGCTTACATCGTCCCCCAGTCCCAGCCCCGTCATGGACCACACAGACTTCCCCAAGGGCCCTGCTCCACAGTGTGCTGCTGGGAGCCTGGGCCATGCATTTGGAGTCGGCAGGTGAGCCAGGCCTCTGGCCATCTCTACAAGCTCACCCTGCAGCCCTCAGAGCCTATCTGTGTGGCTGGACTTCCCCTGTACGCTTCTTAGTCCGTCGCCTCCTTGTGAAAGGACAGCCGCTTCCCAGCCCTCACACAGCATGGCTTCTTCCCAGCAGTGTGCACACACGCCGCCAGAGGCACCTGCTCTCTCCAGCCCGCCTCGCCTCGCCCTGCCCTGCCGTCTGCCCTCTGCCCCTGCAGTAAGACCCAGGACATGGGCGTGCAGGTGCACACGTGCTCAGCCAGAGACTCCGAGAAGGGAGCCCTGTTCCTGGGGCCGCTGTGGCTGTTGGTGCTGGTGGCCAAGGGAAGCAGAACGAGCTTTGCCGTTTTCTTTCCAGGCTTCCAGAAGAACACCTGAAAGCCATCCAGGATTATCTGAGCACTCAGCTCCCGCTGGACTCGGAATTTGTGAAGACGGGCTCCGGAAGCCTTCCTCATCTCAAGAAGCTGACCACGCTGCTCTGCAGGGAGCTCTACGGGTAAGGGCTCCCCGTGGGGGTGGGGCGGGACGGGGATGCAGGGGCGGGGCCGGCCCCAAGCTGCAGAAGGCGCTCATTAGGGTGACCCTGAGCTCGGCGGGCTCCTCTGAGGCTTCAGGATAATTGGGCAGTGGGCAGAGTTTACAAACCTCTGTGGTCGTTGGAAGGTTTTGTGTCCATAGAATTCGAACGTGTGTGTGTGTGTGTGTGTGTGTGTGTTCTCCACTAATTTGACGCTGGCAGCCAGAGCTTTCTCCCTTGCTCAGGATCCAGACCTCAGCGACTTTCGCTGCCACACTTCCTTCTTGCTGTAGCTGGCACATTTGACAAGCACATCAGGGAACCAAGAGGGAACAAATTAAAGTCAGTCTATTTTCAGTGATGGCCCAAGATTTCCGGCATTTGTTTTAAAGTGAGCTGATATTAAATTTTTTTTTATTTTTTCCAATACTGAATGCATGGAGCAACCAATTTGGCAACAATTCTGATCTCTTTTGGATTCTCTTCATTTTACAGTTTTAATTTAATTAACATTAAAATGATTTTCAAGCTTTATTACTGTATTGTTTATTTGAGAGAGAAAGAAAGCGTTCCCCAGGCTGAAGCTGGAACCCGGGAATTCAATCCAGGTCTCCCACAGGATGACAGGGACCCAGTTACTGGAGTCATCGCTGCCGCCTCCCAAGGGCTTTGTTGGCTGGGAGCTGGGATCGGGAGTCAGAGGCAGAGACAGAAACCCCATGCTCCCGCGTGGAAGGCAGGCCCAGCAACTGCCCTTCAAACTTAACTACAGTTCCATGGTCAAGGGCACAAAAGCAAGACTTGGGTTGCATTCTTGGCTCCTGGCTTCCACTTGGGGCCATTGTGGGAATTTGGGGGAACAACCAGCAGATAGGAGTTCTGCCTGTCTCTGCCTCAAATAATTATATATTAAAAAGCAAGACTGATGCTCCATCTGACTTAGCAGACAATATTTTAAATGCTTGATGGGTATAGATTCCCAGGCACCTCGAGGAACCAACACGATCCCATCACTAGTAAAAGGTCAACATTTTAATTGAACAAATAGCATTTCGGGCATTGTGGCACAGCAGGTTAAGCCACTGCATGCAATGCCCATATGGACACCGGTTCGAGTCCCAGGTGCCTGGGAAAGCAGTGGAGGATGGCCCAAGTCCCTGGGCCCTGAATCCACATGGGAGACTCAGAAATAGCTCATGGCTCCTGGCTTCAGATCCACCCAGCTCTCTCTAATTCTGCCTTTCAAATACATAGTAAATTTTTTTTAAAGATTTATTTATTGGGGCCAGTGCTGTGGTGCAGCAGGCTAATGCCCTGGCCTGACCCGGCATCCCATATAGACACTGGATTGAGACCCAGCTGCTCCACTTCTGATCCAGCTCTCTGCTATGGCCTGGGAAAGCAGTAGAGGATGGCCCAAGGCCTTGGGCCCCTGCACCCACGTGAGAGACCTGGAAGAAGCTCCTGGCTCCTGGCTTTGGATTGGTGCAGCTCCAGGCTTTGTTGCCAAGTGAGGAGTGAACCAGGGGATGGAAGACCTCTCTCTCTCTCTCTCTCTCTCTGCCTCTCCTCTCTCTGTGTAACTCTGACTTTCAAATAAATAAATAAATCTTTTTTAGAAGATTTTTTAAAAGACAGAAGACAGTAATACAAAGAGGAGAGAGAGAGAGAGAAAGAGAGAGAGAGAGAAATCTTGCATCGCTGGTTCATTCCCCAAATGGCTGCAATGGTCATGCAGAAGCCAGGAGCCAGGAGCTTCTTCTGGGTCTCCCATGTGTGTACAGGGGCACAAGGACTTGGGCCATCTTCCACTGCTTTCCCAGGCACAGTAGCAAAAAGCTGGATCGGAAGTGGAGCAGCCAGGATTTGAACCAGTGCCGAAATGGGATGCTGGCACCACAGAGGGAGACTTAACTTTCTACCACAGTGCTGGCTCCAATTAAGAAAAAAAAAAAAAAAAAAAAGACAGCATTTCATTCCTCAGCCTGTGCTGTATTGTTTTATTGTACTAAGCAGCTTCAAGATATTCTTATCAATCAATCTTCGCTTACAAAGAATCTTTCCACACCAGTAATCAAATTCAACTTCCTGTTTAAAGGCTCTTAAAAGTGCAATGCGTACTTTTGGTAAACTTGACAAACAATGTCTCTGACAAACTGAGCCGTGGTCAAATGGGCCAGGCGGGCTGGCCTGCGAGGGGGTGACGGCAGCGCCTCCGGCCACCGGATTCCCGGGCAGGGGTTTTGCTCCGGTCCCGCTGTGGGTGTCGCCCCTGCGGGAAGCCCAGAGCCCCGGCTCATGACGGCTGCGGACGGCTTTCATTTCTCCTTCCGGGGGAGCCGGTTCTGTGCCGCTTCCTTGTCGAGGAGGAAATGCTTTTTAAGCCCACGCCAGGCATCCCCGGGCTGGCTCCCGCACATCGGCAGCCTGCCCCCACCTCACCGGATGGGTCCTGAGGGGCCACCTCGTCCCCACGGTGACCGCAGCTGCCCGGCTGCCGGCTGGTCTGGCACGTGTGCTGGCAGACCCGGCTTCCTTCAGCTCTGGCTGTTGCAAGTCTCTGCCGACCGGACAGTTAACTGCGAGTCGCTCTTGGAGCCTCCTCAGTGTTCCAACCCCCCAGCGCTTCCCTGCGTTTTCCTGGGGAACGTGGTAGTCTCGCGGCAGGCTGGATGAAAGGCCAGAATTTTAGAAAACCTTAGATAGGAACAAAGCAGAGCCTGCCGCCCCGACCTGTGCAGGTGCCGTGCCACAGAGCTGTGAACCTGTAGCAATCCAGCTGCTTGGATTGGAGAAGTCTTCAGTTCATTCATTCATACACTTCATTCATTCATTCACTTAAAGGCCTTCCTCTCTCTTGACCTTTTTTTCTTTTTCTAAAGCTTTTATTTATTTATTTGAAAGAGCTACAGAGAGAAGGAGAGAGATCTTCCATGTGCTGGTTCACTCCTGGGGCTGAGCCAGGCCAGGGCCAGGAGCCAGGAGCTTCATCTGGGTCTCCCACGTGGGTGCAGGGTCCCAAGCACTTGGGCCATCTTCTGCTGCTTTCCCAGGCATTAGCAGGGAGCTGGATTGGAAGTGGAGCAACTGGAACTCAAACTAGTGCCCATATGGGATGGTGGAGTCACAGGTGGGGTGTTTACCCACTGTGCCACAATGCTGGCCCTCTTTTAAGACCTCTTGGGAGCTAACATCTCAGCAAGGAGCACAACTGTAGATTAAGAATATAAATAGGGACCGGTGTTGTGGCATAGCAGGTAAAACCTCTGCCTGCAGTGCCAGCATCCCATATGGGTGCTGGTTCAAGTCCCAGATACTCCACTTCTGATCCAGCTCTCTGCTGTGGCCTCAGAGGACAGCAGAAGATGGCCCAAGTCCTTGGGACCCTACACCCACGTTGGAGTTCCAGAGGAGGCTCCTGGCTCCTGGCTTTGGATTGGTGCAGCTCCAGCCATTGCAGCCAATTGGGAACTGAACCAGTGGATGGAAGACCTCTCTCTCTCTCTCTCTGCCTCTCTCTCTCTGTCTCTCTCTCTGCCTCTCCTTCTCTCTCTGTATAATTATGACTTTCAAGTAAAATACATAAATCTTTAAAAAAAGAATATAAATAAATAATTTTAGGAAGCAGCTGATGAAAATAAAGCGGAGTAACGTGAGGGAGAGACGTTGGGTGGAAGAGTATCAGGGTCCTCAGGGAATCAAGGAGATGACAGAGCTGGGACGTTGGTGACGAGTGGGAGCCAGCCACCCTGCCACCTGGCTGAGGATCTCCAAGTGCAAATGTCCAGGCAGGAAGCCAGGGTCGTGGGGACACGAGGAGTGAGGGATGGCATTCAGCAGGGAGCAGGCAGAGGCAGCATTGCCAGGTAGAACCACAGGCTGCCCAGTTCAGTGTGAATTTTAGATGAATGCAGACTGTTTTAACATCAGTTGTAGGGGGAGCTCTATCTGTATTTCTCTCGCTTACTTCCTCTCAAATAAATAAATAAGAAGTATTTTTTAAAGATTTATTTTATTTATGTGAAAAACAGAGTTAAAGAGAGAGGTAGAGACAGAGAGAGGTCTTCCATCCACTGATTCACTCCCCAGATGGCTGCAATGACCAGAGCTGCGCCGATCGGAAGCCAGGAGGCAGGAGCCTCCTCCAGGTCTCCCACGTGGGCACAGGGGCCAAAAAAGTTGGACCATCTTCTACTACTATCCCAGGCCATAGCAGAGAGCTGGATCGGAAGAGGAGCAGCCGGGACTAGAACCAGCACCCATATGGGATGCCGGCGCTTCGGGCCAGGGCTTTAACCCGCGGCGTCACAGCACCGGCCCCAATAAAAAATATTTTTAAAAAACCATAGTCTTTGGAGACAGGAAACAGAAAGTTAACTTATAGCAGGTAGAATGGGATCGCGAAGAAGCAGGAAAAAAATGATGCAGAACTGATGATTAAGCATATAATATTTTTAAAAAATCCGATCTTATAAAAGAGCTGACTCCAAGTATTGAGAAGCCTCAGAAAGACCCAGTTAATATAACAATCAAAGAGCAACAAGAAAACCTCCGTTTATTATGCTTCAAAACCACAAAGAAAAATTAATTCAGAAGGTAAATAATTAGGAACATCACCACAGCTTTATTTTTTCAGCACTGAACATTATTCAGACCCTTTGACAAAGCTATAAAAATTCTGAAACAGTATCTTCCAGAAAAGACCGCTGACGTTAGATTAGGTCAACCCGGATGTCGTTCAGAATACAGGGAGTCTTTTTAGGAAGCTATGAAAAATGTTCTAATCGAGGTGGGTGTTGTGGCACAGTGGGTTAAGCCGCTGCTTGGGACACCAGCGTTCATATCAGAGTGCCTGGGATCAAATCCTGCCTCCACTCCTGTCCAGCTTCTGGCGAATGCACACCTTCAGGGGTGACAGATGACGGCTCAAGCACTCAGGTCCCTGACACCCGTGTGGCAGACCCGGATAGAGCGCCCGCTCCCGGCCTTGGCCTGGCCCAGCCCTGGCTGTTGCAGCCATTGGAGAATGAACCAATGGATGGAAGATCTCTCTCTCTCTCTCTCTCTCTCTCTGCCATTCAAATACATAAAAATAAAAATTTTAAAAACATGCTCATCTAATGCTTCTGCTACAAAAGGAATCCAAGATTTTTTTTTTCCTCCAGAAATTTATAGCACTGGTGATCTTAAAAATAAGAATCTAGGGGCCGGCGCTGTGGCTCACTTGGTTAATCCTCCACCTGCGGTGCCAGCATCCCATATGGGCACAGGTTCTAGTCCCAGCTGCTCCTCTTCCAGTCCAGCTCTCTGCTGTGGCCCGGGAGGGCAGTGGAGGATGGCCCAAGTGCTTGGGCCCTGCACCTCATGGGAAACCAGGAGGAGGCACCTAGCTCCTGGCTTTGTATCGGCGCAGCGCCTGCCGTAGCGGCCATTTGGGGAGTGAACCAGTGGAAAGAAGACCTTTCTCTCTGTCTCTCTCTCTCTCACTGTCTGTAACTCTACCTGTCAAATAAATTTTTAAAAAAATTAAAAAAAAAAAAAAAGAATCCAGAAGCTCACTGAGCAGCAGGCTATGGAGGTGCTCACAGCAGGACGTGTTCATTCTGCACCCCCAAGTGCAATGTGATGGAAACTGATAAAATTAGAAACTAGTCCCAGCTAGCCAGCTACCTGGACATTTAAAGTAACTTGCTTCCTAAATGATAAACGAATTAAGGAAGGAACTGACACAGGCTTGTAATAGCCCACATCTGTGGGGCCACAGACAAGAGTAATCAAACCACTGTCCATCAGAACTCTACAGGTGCAGGCAAACCAGAACTGAGAGGAAAAGGCGTAGCTTTAAATGCGCTGTTATTAATTCAGGGATGGATCGATCAGATCTAGACGGCAAGTCCCGTGACACAATCGCACGTCCTGTCCTGACCGTGACGTCATCACACGTCACGTGCTGATGGTGACGCTGTCACTCGTCCTGTCCCGATGGTGACGCTGTCACACGTCCTGTCCCGATCACCTGGATATTTCCAGCATCTGCAAAGTGCCTGCAGCTCTGACCCACTCAGTGTTCATGAATGAAGCTCAGTCGAGCGTAGGCTGCGTGCCAGGCACTGGGCCTGGGCTGGGCCAGGGCCCTGAGGAAGCTGTGCTGTGAGGGAGTGCGCACTGGCATCCAGACAGGAGAGCAGCGGAGGGCAGCAGTCACCGTGAAGAGAACTACACCAGGAAAAACAGTAAGGACAATTATTAATAAAACGTAGAAGGAAACAGAAGAATCGGCATTGGAGATTGCAGATCAATGAAGTAAATGGTGCACAATGACATGGCTACGATTCTACAAATGATAATTACATCGGGCAAATATTCTACAGGAAATATTTAACATAAACATCCCCACGAGTGATCCCCATTCAGTCATCATAACCTACAAATTATTCCCAAATGACAATCAGCTATTTCACCCTGTACTAAAAATACGGTTCAATACAAACTCCTGACCCCAATACCCGTCTGAAACAAAACCAACTCCAGTTTTATGTATTAATATAGCTGTATATTATTTTAGTAACATTCAGGCAAATAAAATTTGATGGCATGAAAAGTGTAGGCTTCATCAAGGAAACCACCCCAAAGACGAGCCCACAAAAAGAAAACTGTCATTTAGCAGTGGATTAAAAGACAAAGGGATCATTGCACAGAACAAGCCCATTTCTAATTTTAGAGAATCTTTTTTTTTTTTTTTTTTTTGACAGGCAGAGTGGACAGTGAGAGAGAGAGAGACAGAGAGAAAGGTCTTCCTTTGCCGTTGGTTCACCCTCCAATGGCCGCCGCGGCTCGTGCACTGGGGCCGGCGCACCGCGCTGATCCGAAGGCAGGAGCCAGGTGCTTCTCCTGGTTTCCCATGGGGTGCAGGGCCCAAGCACTTGGGCCATCCTCCACTGCACTCCCGGGCCACAGCAGAGAGCTGGCCTGGAAGAGGGGCAACCGGGACAGAATCCGGCGCCCCGACCGGGACTAGAACCCGGTGTGCCGGCGCCGCAAGGCGGAGGATTAGCCTAGTGAGCCGCGGCGCCGGCCGAGAATCATTTGTAAAAGAGGAGTAGAAGCTGCTTCCTGACTGTGACCTGCTCCAGTGCAGAACCAGTGACACCGGCGTAAACCAGTGACACCGGCCAGGGTACCATGGCCTCACCCCGGACGCCGCGCAAGCCAGGACGAAGGCCTGCTCTTTCTCACGCGCTTCCGTCACGCTGGATGAGACGGTTTTGCGGAGGCGAGGGAGAAAGAAAGACAAAAATAAAGGAAACAGCAAAGCAGCAGCACGTCCCTTCCAAGTCTCGCGTTCAAAGGTTCTCAGTGTGCGAGCTGCAAACCTGAGCGAGTCTTGGGGAAATTCGCTAACTCGCAGAGAGCAAGAGGGGAGGCCGCTCTCCCTCTGGTCCGCCCAGAAAGACCAGGTGGGGTCCCAGATGTGTCTGGGGCCATCTGGACCCGAGGACCACTGCTCTCCTCGCCTCAGCCTCCCGCAGGGTCCCGGCTCCGCCTTCGGGGACCCGTTCCTTGCGGCAGCGACCGGGGCTGGACAGGTTTCCCAGGAGGCGCTCCTGGACAAACCCTCTCTGTGCCACGAACCTGGTCCTTCCGACCTTAGCTGACACCGCCAGACGCGGCTGGGAGAGCTCCGATTTTCTGAAGTTTTCAAATGGTTGGAAAGACAGGGACAGCGGCCGCGTTCTTGGGAAATCCTGGAGATTCAACTCATGCGTCTGCGTCTGTGTTTTCTGGGTAAATCCTGAAAAAGGAGAGTGCCGAGGGATGTCGATCGGATGTGAAACCTCTTCTGAGCTTGGCTTTGGGAAGCAGGCCTAGCCCGGGCTCTCCTGGAGTGATCGTGTCAGAGCACGGACAAGGCAGCTCTGCCGGGGCTGGGGACCCGGGACGCCCCTGCCCTGCTGAGCGCCGCCCCACTCCATCGCTGGCCGCACCTCCCACCCTGTCCTCCTGTCCCCATTTCAAGCCAGAAAGCTAAGACAGCGTGGGGCAGTGAGATGGAAATCCACACGCCGGGGGGGCCTGGAATTTTAGAGGAGTGGGTGAATCGGAACCTGGAGACAGAACCTGCCACATTCAGGAAGGGCCTAGCCCAAGAGAACTCTGGGAAGAGGACATGTTGAGTGAAATTGAGCAGCAGTACGGATAAATGTGAGCTACGCGCTAAAAAACCCCTCACACACGAAAAAACACACATTTAAAAAGCACATGACAGGGGCTGGCGATGGGCAGGCTGGGTTAAGCCACTGCCTGGGGCACTGGTTGGACTCCTGGCTGCTCCACTTCCAGTCCAGCTCCCTGCTAATGCACCTGGGAAAGCAGCAGGAGACGGCCCTAGTGTTTGGGCCCCTGCACCCACATGGGAGACCCGGATGAAGCTCCTGGCTTGAGCCTGGCGTAGCCCTGGGCGTTTCAGCCACTTGGGGAGTGAACAGCGGATGGAAGATTTCTCTGCCTTTGCCTCTCCCTCTCTGTAACTCTGCCTTTCAAATAAACAAATAAATCTTTTTAAAAAAATAATTTAAAAATTTTAGATAAGGAATTAAACATATGTAACAACAAATCCCTCACATGAAACATATTGTTAAAAGCTAGAAAAAAATTTAAAATGAGCCACTAATTGCTCCCTAGTAAATATGGATGATAAATTTTTAATAAATGCAAGCAAAGAAATGCCAAGGAAGTATGAAAAATAGAGTAATGAAAAATAAAGTAATAATTTAAAATTGTTAATTGTTTTTTAATGAAATCCAGCCCACCCGTGACAATAACATAAGAGAAAAAATAACCTAGATTAAATAAAAGACAAAGCCGTATATAAAAGTTCTCACACAATTACCATAGAGAGTTGGCAAAGCTAATAAACAGTTTATGCAAGGAGAAATACAGTGGAAATCAACAGTAGGAAAATATCTCATGCCACTAGGGATTAAGGATATGCAAATTAATTCATTAATATTGAAGTGTGGTATTATGCCCATTAATAAAGAGAAAAAGGAAGAAGTCGCAGAATGCGGAGGAGCTCCGGCGTGAGCAGGTGCGAGCTGAGCCCGACGCTGGCGCCGGTGCCGTCGCGGCAGTCTGGCAATGCTGACCCAGAGCCACAGTCGCTAATTATCCTGATGCTGTCATTGAAACGCAGACGAGCAAAGCTGTTCCCGCAGCCTTTATTTATAACAGCAAAGATCTCAAAGTAACCCAAACATCTAGCAGTCGGTTTGGGTACATTTGCTTGATAGATTATTTTGGAACCATTAGAATGTTAAACATGTAAAAACACGAACAGTTTTTGATGACATAATAAGTGAGAAATGGAACTCAAATGATCGGCCCATCACGCTTAAAATGACAGAACACAGCGAGAAGGGACCAGAAACCTGATAAACCCCTCGTATTAGAGTCACCAATGAGTTTGATCCTGGAGAAGTCCCTGGGGGCTGCCCTCTGCCCCTCTGCTGCTGAGTGGAGATTTGGATCACAAATGGGTGGGGGGTCCAGGTGTATGTTGGGGGGGACAGGGAGAGGGAGAGGGGAGTCTGTCTTTTTTGGGGGGATTCTTTTAGGTTTTTTTTCCTTTTTTGTTTTTATCCCCCCCCCCCTTTTTTTTTTTGAGCGAGAGGTTCTTAGGAACACAAAGGCTGGGAACACTGTTACATGACTAATGACTCCAAAGTGCGTTTGTGATCCCAGATCCAAGTTTTGCGCACGCTGCAGACGAGGGTGGCCCCGACCCGGTGAGATCAGCTCCGCACTGCACAGGGCTGTGTGGGACAGGACAGGATGGGGTCGAGGGTGGGCGCCAGCACCAGCAGTCCTCGGTCTTTGCCCGGGCTTGTCCGGGAGGGATTTTCTGCTTTCCCAGACGGGGTGTCACCCTGTCTCCAGCCTGAACCCCCGCAGCCTGGGGAGCCTCGTCCCGGTCCTCACTAATCCCTGCACTTCTCTCTTCTCTTGCACCCCCAGAGAAGTCGTCCGGACCCTCCCGTCCCTGGAGTCTCTGCAGAGACTGTTTGACCAGCAGCTGTCCCCCGGCCTCCGTCCCCGTCCTCAGGTAAGGGCCTTGGCGTTGGAAAGGTGACATGGGTAAGCCAGGGAGGCAGGGGTTTGAGTGCGCCGTGGCCTGTGGGCTCAGAGCCCCAGCACCCTGCTCTCTCCTGGAAGGCAGCTTTTGATGGGAGGAATTAGGATCCCAAATGATGCACTCAGCAAACTTCCCATCCTGTGCTCCCTCGTTTCTCATCAGAAACAGAGAAACGTGAGGTGCCTGAATTCCTGACCCCCGGAAGAGCAAGGCGGGGATACCCCCTCCCCTCCCACACACCTGCTCAGGCAGGGCCTGAAGTCAAGCTTCCATTAAGTAAGGGTCTGTGTGATAAAAGTCATCAGCAGCAATTGTGTTTAAAAAAGGAAAAGCGGTATCTCTCGTGTAAAAACGTGTAACAAATATTTGAGGCAGAGGATTAATGTGGTTTTTGAAATGCCAACAGATAAGTGGAAAAACAATGCAGGTTTTCAAATGCTTTTTATGAACAAGGACGTTCGCTGAAGAGGGGTGGAGGAAAACCAAACAGGAGGAGAGGTCTGGCCTCTCCGCAGTGTCCAGGAAATGACCTTCCAAACAGGGCTGTCTCTTCTTGCCTACCGGAGGCAACAGCTATGGCTGGTTTGTCAGGGCTCTGCTGGGCTGTGGGGTACAGGGCTGTCCTGCTCACTGTTGGGACTGTGAGCATCCTACAAGAGAGGTTGTCTCCGGGCTGCACACGCACAAAGAGGTGATGGCAAAGATATTCATTGTAGCTGTGTCTCTAAAGCTGACAGGGTTGGAATCACAAAAGTAGAGAGAGACAAAGTAGAATCCCTGGGCAGGTGCAGGCCTTCTGTGTAGACCACGTCCCACAGGCGGGTACCTGACCATGGGTTTGGGTCCTGCTCCCAACCCAGCTCCCTGCTAAGGCAGACCCTGGGAGGCAGCAGGGGATGGCTCAGGGGGTTGGGTGGGGTCCCTGGCTGGAGTCCTTGGCCCCTGACTTTGGCCTGGTCCAGCCCTGACTGGTGCAGGCGTCTAGGGAGTGAACCAGCGGATCGGAGATCGATCTCTGTGGCTCTCTCTGCCTTTCAAATGAGACAAAATGTGAAAATAAGTGAAGTAGGGTGCAGGATTCTATGCTAAGCTGTAGGCATTGCCATGGAAGGATCTCCAATGTGGATGGGGCGAAAAGCAAATGGCAGAACGGGATGTGGCCAGTGAGGCGAGTCTGCGTGTGGAAGCCAGGGTAGAGGGCTTGAACCCAGAGGCTCGCCCTGCTCCCCTGGGGAGCGGAGGGGGCTGGGAGGAGAGCAGCTGGACTCGCAGTTTGCCTGCACTGTCTGAGCTGCAGGGGAGGTGAGACGTCCCCCCACTCTCTGGGTTTTGCTGATTTGAGTGTCTAGCAGATTAGCAGGAGAACAGGCAGACCAGAGGATCGCCTGCCTATGCATGGGAGCCTCACAAAATAGAGAAAATCCCAGACTATGGAAGTTTTCACGCCACCCTGAGGCTTTAGGAGGGGAGAAGGGCGGGCGGAGTTGGAGATGGGGTGGGGGGCTGGGCAGCCGTACCAATGATGGGGGGGAGGTGCAGGTGGACAGTGCAGAGCCAGTCTCTCAGGCAGCAGCCCTCCCAAGGACACACTGTGCCGGCTCAGCCTGGCACTCACGCTGCTGGGCTGGGGCCGGGCGGATCTGACCCTTCCTAGACCCATGTGACGAGTAAGCTGCAGCCTGCACCTGCTGTTCCCTTGACCAGTGTAGAGGGGCAGATTTGTGTTGTAAAAGGACAGCTCTCCAGAGCCGTTCCTCTGAACAGCCAGCCCGTCCCTGGCATTTCTCCCCAAGACAGTGACAGCAAGACATCTGCAAAAGAGGTCTTCATCTCATTGTACTTGGCCTGATCTTTTACAGAAGTGCAGAGAGAGTAGTGATCGACTATCCAGGCCTTTTAAAAATGTGCTTGGCAGGGCCCGCGTTCTGACATCAGCATCCCATATGGCCGCTGGTTCCAGTCCCCGTTGCTCCACTTCCGATCCAGCTCCCTGATAATGTGCTTGGAAAAGATGGCCTGGGGTGCTTGGGCCCCTGAACCCACATGGGAGTCCCGGATGAAGTTCTTGGCTCCTATGTGTTTTAAAAGATACGTACATAAAAAACAAAATGTGTCTGGACCTTTTTCCTGAGGAATCCCTGATCCAATTTTAAAAGCCACTCGAGGTTAAGGAGGCAAACGCAGGACGACTCGCCTTCAAACTCCACCTGTAGCACCTGGATAAACCCTGTCTTCTTGAGACTCCAACATCCTGAGGGTCCTGGGCTTGTCAGGAAGAGACCTCCCTTACTCACCATAAGACTAGGAGCCCTGTAGGGAACCACGTATGCAAGATACTAGCCAGGCCTGCGCTGCAGCTCACTAGGCTAATCCTCCACCTGCGGCACCAGCACCCCGGGTTCTAGTCCCGGTTGGGGCACCGGATTCTGTCCCGGTTGCTCCTCTTCCAGTCTAGCTCTCTGCTGTGGCCCGGGAAGGCAGTGGAGGATGGCCCAGGTGCTTGGGCCCTGTACCCGCATGGGAGACCAGGAGGAAGCACCTGGCTCCTGGCTTCAGATCGGCGCAGTGCGCCAGCCGTAGCGACCCTTTGGGGGGTGAACCAATGGTAGGAAGACCTTTCTCTCTGTCTCTCTCTCTCTCACTGTCTAACTCTGCCTGTCAAAAAAAAAAAAAAAAAAAAAAAGTCTGTATAAATTTAACTCAAGGAAGGTTATGTACCTTTTTTTAAAAATGTCAATGCTTCTCATATAATTAAACACAACAAAGAAGCCTAATTAGTTTAATTTTTTTTACATAGGCCTTTGGAGTGTTCCAGGGCTCTCTGGAAAATATCACTTAAAAGAGAAGACCAAATTCTGGTCTTGTATCGGTACACTGTTTAGATTAAGGTTCATTTTTAAAACCCTTATAATAAACTTTAGTTTATTATATAAAGTTTATATAAAATAAACTTTAGTCGGCTTAGCCACACAAAGTTCTCTCTCTCTTCATCTTCCCAACTTTTTATATCATGTTTTATCATTTATTAGGTCTTTCTTCATTCATTTTGAAACAATCTTTAAATAACCTTTAACTGGACAAAATTGCTCTTCTCTATAACAACACCAGCGAAGCCACATCCTTATAACCTCTTACTCTCCTTGTATACTTTGCATATGGACTTGTTCTCCTTATTTCTTGCAGTTTTAATTATATACATTACTTACAATTTTAATTCCTGCCAATTTGAGCCATCATTCTGTAGACAAACCCAGTTTCATAACCGCTAGGCATACTTCTCAAAATACGGTATTGCATGTTTACTGTTAGATCCACCACCATCCTTTGTAAGCAGCAGCCCAATGTAGGTTAACTTGAACCGTAAGTTCAGCAATTAATGTTTCAGTGTCTTATCTTTGTAAATCAGTAAATCTCTATCTTTAACTTAGCAAGAATCTGAGAATATCGTTACCAAAGAGGCTTGGGAAACCTTCTTAGTGAAACAGAATAGTTTAAAAGTTCACCTATAGGCCGGCGCCGCGGCTCACTAGGCTAATCCTACGCATGCGGCGCCGGCACTCTGGGTTCTAGTCCCGGTCGGGGCGCCGGATTCTGTCCCGGTTGCCCCTCTTCCAGGCCAGCTCTCTGCTGTGGCCAGGGAGTGCAGTGGAGGATGGCCCAAGTGCTTGGGCCCTGTGCCCCATGGGAGACCAAGATAAGTACCTGGCTCCTGCCATCGGATCAGCGTGCTGCGCCGGCCGCGGCGGCCATTGGAGGGTGAACCAATGGCAAAGGAAGACCTTTCTCTCTGTCTCTCTCTCTCTCACTGTCCACTCTACCTGTCAAAAAAAAAAAAAAAAAAATAATGTTAGCGACCAGCTTTGACCCTGTGAGCAGATCATCTCCACTCGTCCATTTGCAGAAACACAAATTGGATCCCACTGTCCTTTTCTAAACTGCTGAGTTTTACATACAGTGTCTGTCCCACAGTTAACATTGTTTCCACGGAAGCCGTAAGGCACTTGTGTCTGCATGTTTGTGAGGGCGTATATGGGTGCACGTGTGCACATGTGATAGATCTCTTCTATTCAAATCAGCTAGAAATAAGTGGCCACTCATCCATGAAATGAACACTCAAAGCTGCTAGAAATACAGGAACTTACTCAAATGCTTTTCAAATTCACATGATCTTAGTCATACTCGGTATATTATTGGTTTACTTAAAACAGGCACGTCTTTCCATCTCCACTCTAGATCCCAGCTCCCTGCTAATGCACACCCCAGGAGGCAGCAGTGGTGGCTTAAGTACTTGGGTCGCTGCCACCCACATGGGAGCCCAGGCCAGCTCCCGCCTTTGGCCTGGCCTCGGCCCAGCAGGTGCAGGCTTTGGGCAGTGAATCAGCAGATGGGAGCTCCTTCTCTCTCTCTCTGTCTCACTGTGTGTGTGTGTGTCTTTGCCTCTCACATAAATAAATAAACAAAAATTAAAACAAGATATCTGTCAGGATTAAATATAATGTAAATCATACAAATATAAGTTTGATCCAAAAGCAAATGTGCAGAGTAGCATCTATTACTTCTTGCATATCAAGCACAGCAGGAAAATGAAAACTCACACATTGAAGTTCGGAGGTTCGGCTTTGGGGTAAACTGTGTACACAGACTGTACAAATGGTGAGAGGAAAATCAACTGGAGATGACAGCTAGCTTTGTCTACTATCTCATGAAATTTTCCAGGCATAATTGTTAAAAGCAAATGAATTACATAGATGTAAGTGGAATAAAAGATTATAGGTGAACTTTTTTTTTTTTTTTGGACAGGCAGAGTGGACAGTGAGAGAGAGCGACAGAGAGAAAGGTCTTCCTTTGCCGTTGGTTCACCCTCCAATGGCTGCCGCGGCCGGCGTGTTGTTGCGGCCGGCGCACTGCGCTGATCCGATGGCAGGAGCCAGGTGCTTCTCCTGGTCTCAGAGTTACACAGAGAAAGAGAT